AAAAAGCATTACTTGAGGATGTTATCCTATATAAAAGACATCGAATTGACTCTCCCTAAGATCAATTATGCCTTGATTAGGAGGGGGTGAATACTGTGTGTATCCTGATTCAAAGGTGAAGAATGGTCTATATTTAGATCATTACTGTATTTTTTGAGGCCGAGATTAAAACCTTGCCCAAGAAATAGAAGTCGAGCTAGTGATTTTCTTAAGCTTGTAATTTATTTGAATCATCCATGCATTTACTAGAAAATTTATGAAAAATAGTTTCCCAATATATCATTTTATATATTGGAATCATTGGAGGAATCTTCTTGACCATGGCTACAATCAAGGTTGCCCCTCAGTCCATGTTTGTTTCCCATGAAATTGATGCAACAATAGTTGATGGCATGACGTTGACATGAACATTCTTTTGAGATTGGACCAATAATCACCCACTAGTCATGAACGATGTTCCCACACACGACACTAAATTATTGTGTCATGGAATATTTGCAGTCACAAAAAAATATAAAGTTTAACGTCTTAGCTTTGTACAAAAATCCAGCACACAATCAGATAAAAGAGATGGTGTAGCATTCATAAGAGACACAAAAAATTTTATGTGGAAAATTCTAAAAAAGGGGAAAACCCATGGGGTATGGCCTAGTTTGAATGAATCCACTAGTATTTGCAATCAATTACAAATGAGATCCTTTCTTGGGGGAAGGCCTTTGTTTGATGTAGCAAATATATATCATATAAAGTGCATTAAATGGTGGGAATTGGAAGAATCAATATTAATATGTTCATTTAGTCAGCAAGTCCATAGTCGGCGAGTGATGGAGGTCAAAAAGAACATATTTGGTGGCCGGGCGGAAGTCCGGCATCGATCGGTGGCTGGGAAGAAGTACAGAGTTAGTTGGTGGCTAGACATAATTTTGGGGTCAGACGATGACTAGGTAGAAGTCTGACGTCATTCGATGGCCGAGCAAAAGTCTGACTTTAGTCAGTGGCCGGGCTGAAGTTCGACATTAGTTGATGGCCGGGCAAAAGTCCAGCGTCAGTCAGCGTCAGTTGTGGCCGGGCAAAAGTCCAACATCAGTCGGCAGCCGAGGAGAAGTTCGACGGCAATTGGTGGCCTAGCAAAAGTTCGGTATCAATCGGTGGCTAACGAGATGTTTGATGTCAATTGGTGGTCTTGTAAAAGCCCAACGATAGTCCGACAATTATCAGTGATCCGACGAAGGCCAAGGAGAAGTTTTGTCGCAAGAGAATTATAGTTTCTCTATCATCATTCTCCTTCTTGCTTGGGTCCCACTCCATTAAGAATGAGAGGTCAATTTATAGTTTTCTGATAGTGTCATATGACTAGTAAATATGAGGTAGATCAAGGGTATGTTGGGAGCGATTTGAATGGATGACCGATATTGATCCCCTTAATTGTAAATCATTTATTGGGCATTTGAATATCTTAATGATATTAAAACTTAACGATCTTAAGCTAGTTGGATTGGTCTCGTCAAACCGCTCAATTCGATTATAAGCATGTCATGTTTTGAACCAGTTTAGTCATCCAATTTATAGTTTGAACTTTTAAAATGCACTTTGAGTCTTCAATTTGGCCCCATTTGGGCTTGGATTGAGTCGAATTTGATATTGTCGGATTCATCTTTTCGAGACATTCAGTTCGACTATAAGTTTACTGAAATCAAAGTTCAAATGGTCCTAGATTTAACTTCAAAAGTTTTCGATTTGATTTTGCCTTAAGATTCGTGCCCGATCAAGATAATTTTTTTTTATGATATATCATGAATGCAATGCAACTCATGTACGAATAATTTAACTTGAATCGAAAATTGTGATAATACTCTCGACAATTTACAAACTTATAGCTTATTAAATTCTTTCTCTAAATTTATGTCAAAAGAGATTTCGATTTACATTAACATAACCAACTTAGTGGCTACAATTAATAGAGACTTATATAAAGAATTTATTCTAAGCTTGGGGGAGGTAATTGTGGTGTTAACATGCATCCCATCGTGTCGAGTGCTACTTCTGCTCCTGTTTTGTGTTGTTTAGCTTCGGCTGAGGCTCCCTGTGTGAATGCTGAGAAATTAGTTTCTTCTATTTCACCTTCTGTTAGTATTTTGTCTATTAACCCTGTGGGGGAAGCTTCTGCTCGTTTGGTTTCCCCTATTTTCATGCCTACTGCTTTAGTCCCTGGTTCTTTGGTTAATGTTCCTGTTCATTTAATTTCCACTGAGGCTTTGTGTTATCATGTGGGTGACAATTCGGGGGTGGATATTAGATTGCAAATTGACTGGCTTCAAGGTTCGTCTGATTCCTCCTCGGAATCTAGTGGGGATGAAGACCTTGGAGGTGAAGTTGCCCTTCAGCGTACAAGCCTATTGTTTCAGTTGCCTCTCGGGGGAGGGGTGGATGTGGTAGGAAATAAATTTGGGTTTTGGATGATGGTTTTTTGATCACTTGTCAGTTTCCATTCTATTTGGTCTGTATCTGGTGGTGTTGTCACGGTGGATTGCTTGGATGGCTTAATGTCTCATTTGATCTGTGGTTGTGGGTTGCATTGGTTTGAATTGAGAATTTCTGAGGCATTTGTTTGCTTATGGGCATAATGTGGTTATGGCTCATTTCCCATAAGCCGTTGCTCGTGGCAACCTTTGGTGGTGCATCTTCTTCGTGGTTGTTTCGTTCGTTACTGATGTCACTCCATACTGGATGGCCCGTGCCTGGCTTACAGGGGAGTTGGAAGCCTCTACCAACTACTAAGCCCTACAGGTCGTTAACCGTGCCATCCTTGGTAACTTTTTCTGATTTGTATTTCCAGCTTGTTGTACTCTTTTTGGTTTTGGAATAAAATTTTTTGGGTTTAATATATATATATATATATATATAGAGAGAGAGAGAGAGAGAGAGAATTTATAGGCAATGGATTATAGTAAGTACTTCTAAAAAGCTCTAAAAAATAATGGAGAATGATTAGACAGATTAAAAGCTTTATTCTTATAGGGAAAAAAAATTAAAACTTGCTCAAGTTAGCACAAAGTACATGAAAAGTTTTCATCGAAAATCTTAAAACTATTTAAACTCAAATAAAATTTTATCAGAACAACAATAACTAACATTATATTCCTGTTGTCCAATACGGGTTGCACACGTGTACATAGGTCTCTAAACACTCTATATATTAAGTCCTGTACTCTGTCATAAACAATATGAAAATATTATTCTCTATTCTTGGTTCTTGGAGCTCACGAGCTTCATCTTCTTCCTCTCTTCTTTACCGATAGCTTCTACATCAAACCTCTTGCCCATATACCCCAGAGCAGAACGGCGTAGCTGAACGCAAGCACCGTCACATTCTGGACACGGCAAGGACCTTGCTTCAAACGGCTTCCATACCTCACTCTTTCTGGCCCGACGCAGTCTCCACGGCAGTCTACCTAATCAACAGAATTCCCTCGCCTAACACAATGAACCAAGATCCTATTCAACTATGTTCAATATTAATCCTGATTACACTTATTTCAGGACGCTCGGATGTGAATGCTTCCCTCTCCTTCCTACGCACTCTCGTACCAAATTACATCCGAATTCCAAGTCTTGTATCTTCATGGGCTACGCAACCAACCAAAAAGGCTACAAAAGCCTTCACAAGGACACGAATCGCATTACTATTTCTAGGCAGTTTATAGAAACGTCATTTTCGTTCAGCAAAACCAATTCTAACCCAACTCAACAAACTCCGGAAATACCTGCGTCGCTGCTTACACCAACATCTGTTGCACATCGCAGCCCGCACAAAAACCAGCACCCCTCAATTACTCATCCTAGCCACAACATCGTTTATGCTCCTCAGCAAACTTCCCAGTCCACGGCCACTTCCATAACACATAGTGAGCAGCATCCTGATCAACCAGACCCGCAACTCTCTTCGGCCCCTCACCATCCCATGGTGACCAGACAGCAAACGGGATCGCTCAAGCCAACATGTCAGCTCAACCTTCTACATCTAACAGCATCGCCTCACGACTCTCCGGAACCAACAAATTTCTCGAAAGCCAATAAATTTTACGAATGGAGACAGGCCATGGCTGATGAGTTCTTGGCTCTACAAAAATAGGGCACATGGTACTTAATTCCCCCGCCGCAAAATGCATCAATCCTGGGCTGCAAATGGACGTTCCGCAAGAAGTTTAATTCTGATGGCTCCGTCGCAAGATTCAAGGCGCGCCTTGTTGCTCAAGGTAATCGGCAGGAGCATGGACTGGACTATGAGGAAACGTTTAGCCCAGTGGCTAAACGACCCACGATCAGAATTTTATTCACTGTCGCTCTACATCACGGATGGCAAATCCGGCAGCTCGATGTCGCGAATGCATTTCTCCATGGCACATTCAATAAAACAGTCTATATGTGTCAACCTATTGGTTTCGAGGACTCCATCAGCCCCAACCATGTGTGCTGCCTCCGCAAAGCTATTTACGGTCTCAAACAGGCCCCGCGGCAATGGTACACAACGTTCACCGGTCATCTTCTCAGTTTCGGGTTCCAACACAGCAAAGCCGATCCATCCCTCCTCACATTTATGCAGCACAACATTCAAATCTTCTTGCTCATATACGTTGACGACATACTCGTCACGGGAAACAATGAACGAGCCATCACTGATCTACTCAACAAACTTCATTCACAACTCAACATGAAGAATCTTGGACCCACAAAGCACTTCTTAGGCATCAGCATATCCGTGGATCCAGCTAAGTATTTTCTCTCGCAAACTGCTTATGCTCATTCTATACTTCAATAAGTCAATCTTCACAATTGCAATTCCTTGGCCAATCCTTCATGTACAAAACCACCTACTCAACCTTCGCTGGACAAAGAACTCACCGATCCAGCCACTTACAGGCCGCATTACAGGAGCACTCCAGCACCTCACGATAACTCGTCCAGACATTGCATACGCCGTCAATATACTATCACAGCATATGCACAATCCGAACGTCAACCACGCTTATCTCCTCAAAAGACTCCTCCGTTACATCAAATGGACACTCGCGTTCGGCCTTCCGATTACAAAGTCAACACTGCAACTTCGTACCTTCTCCGATGCAGATTGGGCTGGTGACCCAATTACCCGGAAATCAACTTCAGGCTACTGCACATTCCTAGGCCACAATTTGATTTCCTGGACGGTGAAGAAACAAAAGATAGTGTCCAGATCTTCTACCGAATCGGAGTATAGGGCACTCGCTGCAGCTACGGCAGACATCCTATGGCTACAACGCCTCATAGCTGACTTCCGCATAACATCCGCCGAACCAACAAACTTGTATTGCGACAATACATCAGTTATTGCGCTAGCTCACAACCCCGTCTTCCAAGCTCAAACGAAGCACATTGAAATTGATCACCGCTTCCTTCGAGACAATATACAAAACAACAGTATTTGACTCCTCCCGATCAGTACAATAGATCAACTGGCCGATATTTTCACCAAGCCACTATCCACGGCGAGATTCAAGTTGCTACGAGACAAACTCACGATCTCGCAAGATTCGTCAGTTTGTGGGGGCTATCAAAACAACAATAACTAACATTATATTCCTGTTGTCCAATAGAGGTTGCACACGTGTACATAGGTCTCTAAACACTTCTATATATTAAGTCCTGTACTCTGTCATAGACAATAATAAAAATATTATTCTCTATTCTTGGTTCTTGGAGCTCACGATCTTCATCTTCTTCCTCTCTTCTTTACCGATAGCTTCTACAAATTTCACCACTTAATTTTTTTGAATTTTTTTAATTTAATCCGCTCGAATAGAAAAATAATTCTTAAATAAAAAATAGAAACATTTATCTGAGAAAAAAACAATAGAAACAATCTATAAAAATACTAAAAACAACATGCAAAGACTCGCTAAGAGGAGAAATTATTCTGTGCGGAGTCCGGATGCAAAATGTCGTCCGGAGACCAACAAGAATGCACCATGTCGGCAGTACTAGCCGCAGTACCGAGCAAAGAAGTGACGTAGCATATTATGGTTGGTCTCCAGACGACGTCCAACATCCGTACAAAATTAATCTGAGGAGAGAGAAAGAGGACTCACGCTGCGTGATTCACCCGAAGACAAGGACAGTGATGCTAGCATCTAAGGCTACGTAAGATTTGGATTTTGAATTTGTTAGGATATATATTAAAACAATCATCTAGCTAGTGAGTTCAAGTTCCTGAATATCACCTAATTCTTAATTCTTGTTTATTAAGATTTCATTTAGGATAATTTTTTATCACTATTTTTAAATATTTTTTAAAAAAAATTAATAAAAAATTGCTATAAAATAAAAACTACCCAAAGGAAGACAAAGCCGCCGGTCTGGACAGGGAATTAAATGTACTTAAAAATGCTTTCAATATGGCGGCAAAGACCCGTAGAAACTGCGTGTTGGAAGCATGTTAAAAAAAAAATTATAAATAGGAGCATAATCCATAATTTAAATTAGAAAATAGGAATATAAACAAAGTATTAAAAAAATTTAAATATAAATAAAGTAAACAAACAGAATGACGCATTACATTGAAAGCACCAAATAGTATGACGTTTTTAGAACAAGTCAAACAAGTCAAACATTATGTTTAGCGCATTCCATTGAATGAGTCAAACTGTTTGGTGCATTGCTACAGTAATTTTAGACTTTAATTCGACTTACTGGCCGAGTGAATGCACTACATGATTTGGCGCATTCTGAATACACCAAATAATGATTATATTCTTTAGAATGTGTCAAATGATACGGCTAATTTGCTTCTTTTAAAATTTTTTTAATATTTTGCTCATATTTCTAATTTAAATTAGCACCAGCTGCTTCTTTTTATAACAAATCCATAAACTATTTTGCTCCTGTTAAAAATAGATTAGTAAGATTTTTTTTTATATTTAAATTATTTAAGATAAATTCATATACATAATATATTAGTTGAAAATTAAAATTTTCAATCAATAATAGAATACTGCAAATTGGGCTGCTGTTGAAATTTCCAAAAAGTTGATATTACAAATGGAACTATCGTGAAAATATCCCAAAATATAACATTTTGCGAACTGTGCTATCAAGGAAATATCCATATAGAAACGGCACTATCATTCAAATAGTTGAAAAGTAAAAATCACATGTATGTTTGATTTCAGGCGGCAATTTGGTACTTACGTTGCTTATATATAATATATATAGATATATTTATAATTGATTAGGTACTGTTGAATATACTTAGTTATAAGGGTGTAAGTGAGTTGAATCCAGTCGAGTTTTGACACTAACTAGCTCTTCTCATCAGTCAGAAAGCGAGATCGAGCTTGCCAGCAAAACTTCCTCCCCGTGATTTCCTGCCAGCATAAATTCCCGCCAGCGGAACTTCTGCCCGCAATTTCCTCCCGACGGAACTCCGCCACCATTCGTGAGCCGCTCGACGAGTTTGAGAATCGAGCGGTGTGTTGTTCCAACTTGCGCTTGATAAGCCGTCGAGCTTGAAATATTGTTCGAGCTCGATAAGTTTGACTCGTCGAGCCTGTTAACGAGTCGAGCTCGAGCTGGCTTGCTAGTCGGCTTGGCTCGGTTACACCCCAACTTAGTTATTGAAAGTTAATTCAAATTTTGGTTCAACTCTCATTCAAAAATCAATTTGATTATAATTTCTAAAAAAAAATATTTGAACATAATTTGAATACTTGGGTCTATTTGAGGTTGTTGTAGCTTTTTATAAATATGATCTTAAAATTTTTGTGAGGGAAGTAATATTTTCAAAAGATGCCATAAATATTATAAAATATTCTCTTTTTTTCAAGAATTGGACAATATTTTTCTTTGGCTCGATCTTAAATTGATTAAAGATATTGAAAGAGATGAACATTTACCTTAGTTCCTCGAAGAAAATAATAAAATCGATTAAAAGATGCTTCGAACAACATGCATAGACACCAAGGCTGAGAGGGCGAAAATGGAGATTTGGGGCATGGGCATATTCGTGTGAAATGGGAGGGAGGAGTCATCAGGAGGAAATAAAGGATCTCTCTGGCTGATTTTTCGATGCTATACATTTTTTGTTGAAATTCCACCTGTTTGTTGGTTCGAATTATGACCAAGGGAAATGAAAAGTTATGAGATATAGCCTATTTAAAATGATTCCACTAGCATTTATTTTCTATTACAAATGACGTTCACTACATGAAATTCATCCTTTTGCGGCGAAATAATATGCCTCAAAATAAAAGATATCCGTCGCAAATCTTGGTTTGCGGCAAATTTGAGACGGAGTTGAATCCAGCATCGCAAAAGTATTTACGAGCAAATATTTTGGGACAAATGTGTGACAGAATCTCCACCGCAATTTGATGCAGAAAATTTGTTCCGAATCCGTCGCCATTTATGACTGATGTTTTTGTTGTAAACAACAATACTAAATTGTCGTATCAATGTTTGTAATGAAAATCCCATTGCAAATCCGTTAAAAACCAGAAATATAAATAAAAAACTATTGTTATTTGTTATTGAGCTTTCCAACAGTAGGAATCCAAACAATTTAAAACTTTTTTACAGATACTCCAGGCGAAATATGTGTCCTCACTATCTTGCTCGGCCAAAGTAGGCGCAGGTTTATTTCCAACAATTTGCTCTCTCAATCTCCTAAGCTCGTCTAGTATCTTTATGTTCATGTTCATTTGTTTTTTTAGATGTTTTTTAACTCCGTTGTCAAGTTAGTCACATGTTGGCTATATAAACTCTCCTAAGTGCTTATGGAGTAGCCGGTAGCATAAGATGATTCTCCCTCGTATGCGTAGGCTTGTGAGAATAATCGATAAACATGTCTCTTCTACATTCCACCTAACTCTTACGACCAAGTACGATAGTTAGAAACATATGTCGATCCCCCAGATGAACCATCACCTGCTGCAGCTTGGCTCTCTCGAAGTCTTGTATACTTATCCTACAAAATATAATATAAGATTATTAATCGAATAATCGTCACTTATAATATTTATGTAAGTATAATTATATCCTTATATACTTATATATGCCCTTCAAGCTCGCTCATTCACCTGATGTTGGTACTCTTGGTGCTTATGAGTATTTTTGCCTCCATGCTTCATTCAAAGTGAATGATTTAGTATTTTTCATGCAATATGGGCAAGCTAACTTTCCTACAATGCTCCATCCAGAAAGCATACACATCCTTTTTTTCCTTTGGATTGTGTGGGCATGGAATAATAAGTATCAGAAACATATAGGACGTAATCATACATAACTCTAAAAGAAGATTATAGGGGGTGAGTATCACATGCCAACATGAGTAAGGTGAGAAAGATTGGATAAATAGAGTAAAATCATCTGCACATAAATCTAATCTTACATTCCTTAGTTCGGCAACGATGGTAGGATGTATACGGTCAAAGTGTTTCTAGGCTTCTATTTCTAACAGATATATCAGAATACCTACTTATGAGTTGTGTTCTATATGTCATCTCATATGTGCAGGAGATCTTAGAGATACATATAAACATTATAATTTAGTAATTGATTAAAGAATTCTCTGAGTATATTATATTCTATCTTTTTGGTTAACATCTTCACAACTATAAATAACTTTCAATGAGTAGTGCATCCATTCCAAATTAGTTGTTATGCAATGTGCAACAAATCATAGAAGTTTTATATCTTATAATTCAAGAATTCTTCTATATATTATTGAAATTATGACCATATTACATCATAAATTGAATCCTCAAATATCTTAACTATATCTTCCTCAATTATGTTGGAACTTGTAAATGTGTCACACTAAGAGTCGAAATGAGTCTCATACTCATCATATGAAGTTCAATATCAACATTCTGGCATGAATCATCTGCGATATAGATCAATAGTAATCACATTTATTGTGAGGTAGGCTTAATTTTTGTGTTTGGAATGTGGACAATAAAACCTATCTTCTAATATAATGGAGGTAATTGATTGCCTGGCTGAATAAAATAATTCACTTCATTTAGAAATTCATTTTCTAATGTCTTGCATCTAGGCAATAGTAAGCTATAAATATAACTTCTATATTTTCGAATATCCATAACACATTTGGACTATAAATTCCTACAACCAAATAATGATATTTATATTAATTTTTTAAAAATAAATAATATATATAATGATGATGATTTTAGGAGTTTGCATGGATAGTTGTGCGCCTCCATCACACACTCATTATATATTAGACAATAGAAGAGTGTGAGTGAATTAGTGCAACACACTAATACTTCTAATTTCCTAAACGATTCATTTGATGGGCGTTATTTTATGTGACCAAATCATCTAAGGTGGCTCTCTATAATATTATCTCCTATATATTGGAGCTACTCCAAATATTTCAAATATATGCTCATGTTGTTATTTGTTGTGTTTTAAAAAAAAGATTTGCTTTACTTTGGAAAGAGTGTAAATCAAAGCGGAATTAAGTTTCTTTGTGGGAAATTTGAAATAGACTTTTGAATTTTAATTCTAAAATGGAGCATCCATTGGAAATAATATACCGCCTCGAGAGGTGAAAATAAGATTCCTAGATGGGTTCAAATTTAGAATTATAAATTATATCATGAATATCATAGTTAAATTCAGGAAAGAACTACATATGAACTCGAATGGTCAAAATAATGGTAAATCAAATATTAACTACGATGTTCTGGATATGCTATTGTTAATTTCATATTCGAGGTCATGACAAAGAATGACGTATCTACCCAAGGCAAGAAAATATCACCGCTTAGCAATTATTTGAATATGACGATAACAATCGTCATTGATTTTAATTTTTTCCAAAGATAATTAATTGAGTTTTAAAAATTGATCTGAGGTATTTAAATCTCCTACGAGTGCATGTCCTCATAGTAATGAGAAGGCCATCTAAATTGAAATGTATGTTTGAATGGTTAAAGGGTTTGTTTAGACAACCATGCTTGACTTGGTTAACCATTTCAAACCAAGGGCTAAGTTTGGATCTAATGCATTCCTAATGATGCTTATAATACATTAGTAGAGGTTTTAATGTTTGATATGATTGAGCCATGTTGAGGTTTCAGGAAAAGTCTAAATTTTCCCTTAAAAGACATTTTGGTTATTTTGACCCCTAGTAAACTAAGAGTCAAACAGAGTCCACTAAAATATAGTTTTATGTTCAACATATCATAAATAAGAGTTATCGATATGGTTAAAGGTCTTGGGGAAGGTCCCAACATTAAATTCCACAAGGTGAAAGGTCTAGTGACATAGATTATAATTATTTGAAGGTTTTGCAGCTTTTGTATTTCAATTCAGTTTCTAGAGTTTGAGATGTCAAACTGGACTCAAATTTAGAGAATTGACCCTAGGAACATGTCTAATCAATATGCAATTTATATATCAAGAATCAGATGTCATTTGGCTCAGTTTTGAGGTGATTGAAAAATCATCCATAAAGGGTTTCGGGACATAAGCCCATTACCCTGAATTTTAGCTTGGAATTCTTGGTTTCAATTAGGCTTTGGATTTGATTAATTGAATTTGAAGTATCCATATGAATCACAATTAAATGAATGATTATGATGATTGAAGGTTGGATTAAATATTGATTGAGGATTGAATTGGAGATTGATTGAAATCTAGATTAAAGTTTGGATAGAAGATTAATTGAAAACTTAATTAAAATTTGATTAAGCTCTAGATATTTGACAATTGGATGGTTTTCAACCATCAGATCAATAAGCAAAAGTCTGAATGGGTCCTAATAACCTCATACAAAAATGATGTCAATAAATGTATGTTGTCTCTAAGAGTAAAGCCACTCATTCATCTAGGCATCCTCATCTCTGCAACATTTAACTTAATAATATACTTCTCTTTTAATGGCCAACATTTTACACCATAATAAAGCATTACAGGTCTCACCACCATTTTTTAGAACTTTTTCCTTAAGTTTAAGGGGAGCTTATCACACAACAAGTATCATGCATTCCGCTAACATGAATTCTGCTAATAATATCTCCATCAATTACATCATCACCATGAACAATAGACTCTAAGAGTAAAGCCACTCATCCACCTAAGCATCCTCATCTCTGCAACACTTAACTTAATATTATGCTTCTCTTTTAATGGCTAACATTCTACACCATAAAGTATTACAGGTCTCATAACATTCTACACCATAAAGCATTACAGGTCTCATAACATTCTACACCATAAAGCATTACAGGTCTCACTACCATTTTATATAACTTTCCATTAACTTTGAGCCTGATGCATTCCTCCACTTCAACCATCCAACTTGAATTATACTAATAATATCTCCATCCCTTACACCATCATCATGAACAATAGACTTTAAGATTAAAACCACTCATCCACCTAAGCATCCTCATCTCTACAACACTTAACTTAATATTATGCTTCTCTTTTAATGGCCAAGATTCTACAACATAAAGCATTGCAGGTTTCACCACCATCTTATAGAATTTTTCCTAAGGTTTGAGAGAAACTTTTCTATCACACAAAAATCCTTAAATTATGAACAATCTCCATGCATCTTCTAATTAACCCGAAAATATGAACAATAGACTTGAAATGAAATTGAAGGAAGATTACCTTCAAAGCCAATAAAATGTGAAGATGCTGTTTGGATGTAAGATTTAGGGCTGATTTATGGGATTTGGTCAAAAAAGCGAGCGAAAGGGGGAAAGCTACCTTCATAGTGAGTAAGCTCCCATCGTTTCTTCCGATCAAAATGTCCAACTTCCGATCCAACAGGAAGGGAACATCATCGAGTCGAACAACGACGAAGGAACCGAAGAAGAACAACAATAAATAAAATTTGGAGATGGCTAGGAGAGCGAATTGAAGGAACGTCATCGAAGGAGATGATGGCACAGGGGTCGTCGCGGGCACGCCAGCATTACAGAACGAGAACGGATGAAAGAAACAATGAGGATGTCAGTTTAGATAGAAGTATTTGTGACAGATTTGCGGCGGATTTATGATAGATTTGTGACGTAAATTCCATCGCAAATTGTGGTGGATTATCCACGCAAATCCATTGCAACTTCGTCGCAAAATAAACAACAAAAATTTTGGTCCCAAATTTGCCGCTATCTCAGAGAAAATTTTTTCCGTCGCAAAGTCCGCCACAAATTATTGTCTTTCCTGTAGTGGCTCTTCCACGAGGGAAGACATTGATTCAATATAAAGAACGTATTATATTGTTGAAATTGAAAGAGTCTCATGGCATGGTAGCTAGCTTTAAGAGATCATTTACTTGTTTGGTTAGTCGTGCTCTTTTGAGAAGAGAATATCTTGTCAAGAAATCTAGTATAAATTCTAGTGTTGACGTTGGAAATTTGAGTTGATATCAACAACATGCATTGATCATATAAGTGATGATGTGTGCTCGTATTATTGGTGAGGACAAGTAATGAAGTTTATGTGTCTTAGTAGCTAAATGACAATGTTCAAAGAATCATAATTGAGTAATGGAGATCGGAGGGCCATAGTAAAGCGATGGAGGTTGAAGGTGTGTGGTTGGGCGATGGTGGTCAAAGGTCCATAGCTTGACCCAATCGCCCAATGAGGTGTGGCTAACACCCATTATGTAAGAACTTTTTTTATTATTTTTTATTTTTAGATTTTTTTCAAAGAAGACAAAAAACCAATTTCACTTTTAAAAATATTCCAAAAAAATTTTAAAAATTCTAATATATATATAGGATGTTTGACCAATTCAAATTATTGAGAAGAAAACTTCAATCAAATGACTTAAAATAGACTCCTTTAAACAAATTGAAATCTCCAATTATAAGAATTAATATATAATAAGAGGAGACATATATATATATATATATATAAAGCAAGAATTTAAATTTTATTAAATTTATTTTAAAATTAACAGTAAGAGATATATATACATGCACTTGAAATAAATCACTCCACCAAAATCTATGCACAATGCTTATATATATACATCCCTGCACTTGAAATAAATCAGTACTCCACCAAAACCTAAGCTTAATGCTTCCATCAACAAACATGGAAACTTCACTGTTCTCCATCCTATATCCTCTCACCACCTTTATCCTCTTAATCTTCCTAATAACAAAGCTTCTGTTCCCCAAAAACACCAGCGGTAATTATAAACTCCCTCCCGGCCCATGGAAGCTCCCCATCATCGGAAGCATGCATCACCTTATGGGTGACCATCCGCACCTCAGAATGAGAAGCCTAGCAAAGAAATACGGACCTCTATTCCACCTCAAGCTCGGTGAAGTCGACCTCATGGTCATCACATCACCCCAACTCGCAGCTGAATCCATGAAAACCCACGACGTCAACTTCGCTGCTCGCCCTCAATTTCTCTCTCGGAAGATCATCCTCTACAACTCCGACTTAGTCTTTGCCTCCTATGGCAAGCATTGGTCTCAACTGCGTAAAATATGCACAGTCGAACTGTTCAGCAACAAGCGGGTTAAGTTTCTTAAGTCCATCATGCAAGAAGAAGGTCATAATCTTGTGGAGAAGATCCGTTTGGCTGATGGATCGCCTGTCAACGTTACAGAAATGTTATTTGCCGTCGCAAACACCACTATCACTCGTGCAGCTTTTGGAAAGGAGTTTGCCCATCAAGAGAGGTTTCTTTCCACGATTAAAGAGACGTTTAAGTATTTATCTGGATTTAACTTGGCAGATTTATATCCCTCGTTGAACTTTCTTGGTGACATTAGTGGCCTGAAATCTAAGCTGGATAGAGTGCACCGAGTTTTGGACGTGATATTGAATGAAATATTTCAGGAACATGAAAGAAAGAATGCCAATGAAGGTGGCGTGACGGAGGAAGAGGACGATATTGTTGATATTTTACTAAGATTGCATAAAGATGGTGGAAAAGATGTACCCATAACCATGGATAGCGTCAAAGGAGTTATATTAGTAAGTATATTTATATGATCTTGAACCAAAATCTTGTGATATTTATCTTATTGGAAGAAAAAAAAATTATATTTGCTTATGTTTTTTTATGATATATACAGCTAATAATAATTGTTTTAAATGCTAGAAGAAGCCTCCAAAGTCCACACACGTTTGCTTTTGCTACGCAAATTCAATTTGTACACATTCGAGTCAACATATCTTCTTTTAAGTCAAATTGAGCAAAGTTTTGTTTTTAATGGCAGGATTTATTTTTGGGAGGAACAGAGACCACAGCAGCAACTATGGACTGGGCCATGGCTGAACTCATCAGACACCCTGAAGTAATGCGTAAGGCACAATTAGAAGTGAGAAGAGCCATGAACGGAAGAGAAAAGATTAAGGAGGATGATATTAACAATCTTCCTTATCTAAATATGGTAATCAAAGAAACCCTTCGACTAAGAACTCCTGCTCCCTTCCTAGTTCCCAGGCACAGTACTGAAACAGTTGAACTAGGAGGCTACACAATACCTGCTGGAAGTAGAATGGTGATCAACGTATGGGCCATTATGAGAGAACAAAATGGTTGGGACGATGCGGAGAGATTTCTGCCTGAGAGATTTGAAAATAATCAATTCGAGTTTATGGGAACTAATTATCAGTACATTCCCTTCGGAGGAGGACGAAGGGTTTGCCCTGGAATAAATTATGCCATGTCAAGCATGCAAAATGTACTCGCAAATTTACTCTACCACTTTGATTGGAAACTACCAGGAGGGCAGAATCCGAAAGAGTTGGAGATGAAGGAGGTTTCAGGCTTGTCGTTGACTCGGAAGAGCGATTTGTTCCTGATTGCAACTCCACATAATTAGTCCTTCAAGGTTTCGCTCTTCTTTCTGCAGTAAAAATCTAGTGGTCTTTTCAATATGGAAGCTATGTACTTCATCTTTCTATATATATATATGGTTATAAATAAAGCACTTTCTTGCAGAAAAATGTAAAAGGAACTAAGGTATATTGATGTAGCATAAGTAGCTGACGGAGGTATAAGCAAAAAGCTCAGACGGCAACAGCGAATTACAAGAGGGTCCTCTATTTTGTTTTGTTTGTCTTTTTTCTCCTAATGAAAATATAATGAGTAATTGCTTTTGATAAAATAGTTTGAACTATTTAGAAGAACTTGTATTACAGATATTATAGGAAAAACAAAATTAATTTTTTTTTATAAAGCATCTAATTTGATTATTTCCACTTGTTGAATAATATTTTTGCACTAATCATTTTGTAATAATAACAAATATTATATTTTTAGAATTATAAAATGAGATTCTCTCTTTAATAATTATATGAGAATATTTAATGTTGCATCCTGGAATATTTGCGGTGATAGAGAGATATAAAGTATAACATCCAAATTTTATATGAAGATTTAGCACACAGATAGATAAGAGAGATAAAGAGATGCAAGAGTCATAACAAACAACAAGATTTTTATATAAAAAATGTTTAAAAAGGAAAAAAAATTATGGGGTCTAGCCCAATTGAAATGAATCTTCTACTGTTTATTGTTGATTACAAATCATGCCTTTCTTGAGCGAAGAAGTTAGTTCAATATATCAAATATGTATCATATTAAAAATTTTACACACTACAGGAAAAACGTGTATTTCCGATGGATTTCAAAAATTTTCGGCGGATTTTCGGTGTAAACGATTTAGACGCTAAATCAAGCATTGGAAAACTTTCACTACAGGAAAAACAGCTAAATCCGGCGGTTATTTCCGGCGGTTTGGGTAATATA